GGGATATAGCTCAGTGGCATATAGCTCAGTGCCTGGTAAGACTGAAGTCATGAGTTCAATTCCCGGTACCAAAAAAAAAAACCAAAAAAACATAAACTGTGCAGCAAAATGAACCTTTATTCTTGCTGAGCCTGGTGGCGCATGCCTGTAATCCCAACACTTGGGAGGCTGAGGCAGGAGGATCACTGTGAGTTCGAGACCAGCCTGGGCTACAAAGTGAGCTCAAGGCCAGCCTGAACTGCATAATGAGACCTTGTCTCAAAAAGACAAAAAGAAAAAAAAAACAACAACAACAACACAACTATCCCATCATTCTTGCAACTTTCTGCAGCAGTTCTGGAAGTTCTCTTTCATGAAGGTCTTTAGTTGCACTGACACGGCCACCTTTAATTCAACATTTCATGGTTGTATTAACTCTGAGAAAGAGCCACAAGTCACATGGTACCAGATTCAGCAAATAAGGTGGATGAGGATATAGCACATTGATTTAATGAGCCTGCCTTTCTATTGGATGATGCTTAGCTACCATATTCACTGTGTTTTTTATCACAGCTGGTGAGAACACTTAGGAAAGAACCCTTCCAGAACTGCTTCAGAAAGTGGCGAAGACGCTGGGATGAGTGTGCTTGCAAGCGGGGATTCTGTGGAGGACTCATAGCAAGGCGTCTTTTACTATAACAAATTTTCCTGAACATTTACCATCCATTCTCATCACTGGTCCACAGGTGCTTCACACGTGTGCCGGCAAGCTTGGGAACCAGAGAGACCTGGAGATGGAGCCGAACCCTAAACTTAACCAAGACAGCCACTCTGGAGGCCGCACTGAACTTCAGAGTTTGTGTTTCCTCTCGGCTAAGTGGCAGTACCCTTACCTACGCCCCAGGCCCGCTGCCAGCCCAGGCGAGCGCGGGGCGGGAGCAGCTCAAGCATCTAGAGCGGGCTCCCAGCGCCCAGCTCCTCTGCGGCCCTACTCTCCGTCATGCGCCAGCGAGGCCTTCGGGTCAGAGACAAGGGAGACGCTCTTGTGGCCCCGGGACGCGGGGCAGCGAAGGGCTCAAGGCGGACAGAGAAACAACTCGAGGGATGGCAGATCTCTCATGAGCCCAGGAGCGCAGCGCAGGCTCCTGCCTTTGTGAGGGCAGTGGGAAGAGCTGACCCGAAAAGGCTTCCTGGAGGGGACAGAGAAGCGGGCAGAGTCGGGAGAAGCGGGCCGAGTCGGGAGGAACGAGGGAGGCAACGTCTCTCCGTTCTGCGGGGAGGGAGAGGACTGGAGACACTGCGAGCCTGGGGTCTGCAGGAAACCGGAAGTGCTCGGCGAGGTGAGGAGAAAACAGCAAGGCCAGGGGAGTAACTAGGCCCAGGGCTGACGTGGGGACCCAGCCCTTCGAGAATTCCCACTAGTACCCAAGTGGAGAGAAGAAAACTGGACGGGTGTCTCATCGTCCCACTGCTGTGACCTGGGAAGAAGAAAAATGAAAAAAAGGCCTGGCAAGATGGAGCATACCTATAACCCCAGCACTTGGGAGGCTGAGACAGGAGGATCACTATGAGTTTGAAACCAGCCTAAACTGCATGGCAAAATACTGTCTCAAACCAGGCGTGGTGGCGCACGCCTGTAATACCAGCACTCAGGATGCTGAGGCAGGAGGATCATTGGGAGTTCAAGGCCAGCCTGGGCTACAAAGTGACCTCAAGGCCAGCCTGAACTGCATAGCCAGACCCTGTCTCAAAAAAAAAAAAAAAAAAAAAAGATACTGTCTCAAAAACACAAAAAAAGCAAAATGAAACAAAAAAAGTGAAATGGGCAATAGAACAATGCCAGCTCCCGGTGATGGCAGTAAAGGCTGCAGGGTTATGAAGTAAATCAGCAGGTAATCTGAGCCCACAGCATCCTGCATGTGGAGCTCGAGGGTAACTCAGGATACTTCAGGAAATCTCAGACAAAGCCTGGTTCCTTTTAAGAAGCACTGTACACTCAGCTCAGCGTCCCCTTTCTGTGCCGAACCCCTAATCCCATATAAATGTGGCTGGAATATTAAACACTCAGCCCTTAAGTCACAGCTGCGAGCGAAAATAAAATATCCTCAGACATGGCAGGGGGAAAATTTAAAAAGAAAATATCCGCTGATATGGCAGGAGGAAAACTTTAAAAAGATCAGGTACAGCGTCTCACAGCAGTGATGACGCAGATAGAGCCAAGTCAGGAGCTGAACGGCACAGGCAGAGACGCAACAGCAAAACTCCCACAAAGAACACACCGAGGGGGGCTGGGGATTTAGCTCAGCGGCAAAAGCGCCTGCCTGGCAAGCGCAAGGTCGTGAGTTCGGTTCCCGGTACCGGAGAAAAACCAAAAACCAAACAAAACAAAACAAAATAAAGAACACACCGAGAAAGACACAGACCACTCAGAGCACTGAGATTCAGCTAGGAGATAGTGAGACAAGGAGAAATTCCTCACAACTGAGTCACAGGAGAGAACCTCGTAAGTGTATAGATCCTGTCGATAAGGACTCTGACAGATTCTAAACCTATAGAAGCAGCGCATGGTGGTGCACATCTGGAATACCAGCATTCAGGAGGCTGAGGCAGGAGGATCTCCTCCAGTTCAAGGCCAACCTGGGCTACATAGTGAGTTCCAAACTAGCCTGAACTATATAGGGAGGCCCTGTCTCCAAAAAAAAAAAAAAAGCTGGGCATGGTAGTGTATTCCTATAATCCCAGCCCTTGGGAAGCTGAGGCAGGAGGAATGTTGTAAATTTGAGGCCAGCCTGGGCTACATAGTGAGTTCAAGGGCAGCCTGAACTACAAAGTAAGACCCTGTCTCAAAAAAAAAAAAAAAAAAAATCACCACTAAAATGTAAGAATAAAATTTTTAAAATAGGTGATGGTATTTGAAGGTGATTTTTTTTTTAATTTTTAAATTTTTTTTTGGTCTTTTTGAGACAGGGTTTCACTTATGCAGTTCAGGCTGGTCTTGAGCTCACTTTGTAGCCCAGGCTGGTCTCAAACTCTTTAAGGATCCTCCTGCCTCAGCCGTGCTGGGATTACAGGCGTGTGCCACCACACCGGCTTTTTTTTTTTTTTTTTTGGTGCTGAGAACCAAACCTCATACACTGCACCGCTGAGCTGTGGTCCTTGTCCCATGGAGTAATTTCTGTTCTCGATTGTTTACATATTTTTATAACAAGCATGCATCTTTGCAGTCCCAGGCACTGAACCTCCAGGCCGGAGCGGGTTTTATTTTTTAAACAACTTTAACAGCGAATTTTCATTAAAAAGTCAGAAAACAAACATGCTTACATAGTATTTTTTCTTTTTTGAGACAGGGTCTCACTGTGTAGCCCAGCTTGCCCTTGAACTCACTATCTAGTAGTCTAGGCTGACCTGAACTTGCAATGGTCCTCCTGCCTCAGCCTCCCAGAGTGCTGGGATTACAGGCGTGCACCACCCCACCCTGCTTGCGTACACAATTTCTTGGACAGTGTCTTCCTACAAGGGATTATTTCGCATCTTTAATCCTTCGCACCATCTACAGAAACCTGTAGAAGTCACCAAGTAACCAGAAAAGACACATTAAAGAGAAGTTTGTCTTTAACGGAATCCACAGCTTGCATCACTTTCTGAAAGACAGGAAGCGTCCTGGGGCAGAGCTGAGTGTTTGAAGGACTAAATCCCTTCCAGCCATTACCACAGTTACCTTTCAGCTTATCTTTGATGTTTTCTGACAAGCGCTTGGTGAGCTGCGGCGCTTCCTCTGCGGAGTATTCGGCGTTCGCCAGCTCCTCCTTGAGCAGCGCGTGGATGCAGTCTTTCACCACAGAGGGGCGGAACCTGGTGGAGACAGTTGGGGAACGGCTATCTAATCGGGATCTCCGAAACTCCTGCTAACCTTCGCACTGCGACTCCCCCGGATTTTCGTCATCAGCGCCATTTAGTCCTTTTTTTTATTTGCCCTTATAAAAGTAATATAAACAGCGCAGATGTGATGGCGCACACCTGTAATCCCAGCTCTCGAGAGGCTGAGGCAGGAGGTTCGAAAGTTGAAGTCCCTCCTGGATAATTTTGCAAGACCTTGTCTCAAAACTTTAAAAATAAAAATAAAAGCGGCTGGGGTGCAGCCACTAGGAAGGCTCTGGGTTCAAATCCCAGTACAACAATAATAACAGAAGTAATAAATTAAGAAGCAGTTCATATCCTAGGTTGTGTGTACAGCCTGGGCTCCGGGTGGCTATCTAGCCGGAAGCGCGCGGTGGACGCCCCCTACAGGGGGCTCCGCGCTCGCCCCACACAGCCGCCCCCAAGGCAAAAGCGTTGGGGTCAGTCTAGACGTGAGCATATCTTATCTGCTCCACCTTCAAAATCTCAAACGCAGTCATTCTTCCCCATCACCGCATCCTGCCCTGAGCTAGTTCTATCTCCCTCAGCTCTTCCTGGGTCCCGCGACACGCGAGGGGACCCCAGTCTGCCTGTGCCCTCCCCCCAGGGCCCCACGCAGCAACCTGCCCCATCCTGCCCCCCGCACTGCACTTCGGAACGACTCGTCTGTTTCAAATACCTCAAGCGGCAGTGATGGCACTCACGCTTGCGATCCCAGCACTTGGGAGGCTGAAGCAGGAGGACTGCTGCGAGTTCGAGACCAGCCTGGGCTACATAGTGAGTTGAAGGTCAGCCTGGACTACAGAGCGAGGCCCTGTCTCAAATATACAACAACAATAACCCAAGAAACCCAGTCCCCCAACACACACAAAAAAACCACTTCCAAATCTTCCCCAGTGCACTCCAAAGAAGGGTCAGCGTCCTCCCTGTAACATCGAGGGTCCCAGGAAGTCTCCGGCAGCATTGCGGGCTTGTTTTCCTGGACACACACACCCCTGGGCCTCGCCTGCGCTGCACCCTTGGAGTCTGTGCTTGCTGTCACCATGTGGGCTAGCCCGGCTCCCTGGTCTGCAGGCAAATCCCCTTCCTCCGCACAGCTGCGGGAGTCGCAGGGCGCCTCCCTCCCTCCCAGCCGCCTCCCGCCCTGCTCCTGTCCTACCTCACTGTGGCTTTCTCCTGTGGGATGTCCCTCAGCCCTGATGGACAGAAGCTCCATCAGGGGTTTTGTCAATGCTGTTCAGTTTTACCCCCATACCCACATCACAGACAATACACATTGCTGACAATCATTAAATAAAGACAGAAAATGACCCCTGATTCACCACCGTTACCAATAGCATTAGCAGGTTGGTTGAACTTATCACACATTACAACATTTAGTTCCTTTTTTCAGCGCTGTATATTCTATCAGTTGATTTATCAACCACCTGCCAAATTATCAGAATATTTTAAGGTTTTTGGTTTTGGTTTTTTTAAGACAGGGTCTTGCCATGTAGTCCAGGCTGGCCTCGAACTTACAGTGATCCTCCTGCCTCAGCCTTCCAAATGCTGAGACTACAAGTGTGTGCCACCACAACTAGCTCCTGTAATCGGATGTGTGAGTTGTGTGAAGAAAACCTCAACATTTTATTGAGAATTTAAAAATCTTAAAGTGGGTTGGGCATGGTGACCCATGCCTGTAATCCCAGCACTCAGGAGGCTAAGGCAGGAGAACTGTTGGCTGTGAGTTCCAGACCAGCCTGGGCTACAGAGTGAGCCCAAGGCCAGCCTGGGCTACTCAAAAAAGACCAAAAAAAAATCTTAAAGTGGCCAGGCATGGTGATACACACCTGTAATCCTAGCACTTGGGCGGCTGAGGCAGGCAGATTGTGAGTTTGAGGCCAGCCTGGGCTATATAGTGAGACCCTGTCTCAAAAATCAATCTGTCGATCAATCGATCAATCAAATCACAGCACAGGGGTATTCCTACATATGCCTATGTGTTGTCAGTTTTGTTCTGCACTGTTTTACAGTGGAAACGGTGGTGGCACCCTCTACATTATTACAAACTTTAACTAAGATAGCCAAACTTCTCCCTGGGTCTCTGGAGAGTAAACCTAGGGGTGCTGTACCACTGAGCTACATCCCCAGCGCTTTTTATTTATTCATTTATTTTTGTTGTTTTGTTTTGTTTTTTGTTTTTTTTTCCGGTAGCGGGGATGGAACTCAAGACCCTGCGCTTGCCAGGCAGGCGCTGTGCCGCTGAGCTAAGTCCCCAGCCCCTACTCATTTATTTTTGAGCCACAGTCTCACTAAGCAGCTCAGGCCAGCCTTGAATTCATTTTGTAGCCCAGGCTGGCCTCGAACTCACAGCGAATCTCCTGCCTCAGCCTTCCGAGTGCCAGGATTACAGACGTGCGCCATCACGCCCAGCCCTTTTTATTTTTTGAGACAAGTCTCTTTAAATTGCCTACGCTGGGCTCAAATTTGCAAGCCTCCTGCCTCAGCCTCCAGGAATGCAGGGATTACAGACTTTCGCGACTAGGTCCAATGCCAGAAGTAGGCGTATTATGGCACAAGTGTGTACATGGTAGCCCTGGAAACATGGTAGCCCTGAACAGCGTCCCTTACCAGCCGCTATTTTCCTGCCTCTCTCCATCCTATCCCTGTTCTTTCCCGTGCGCACTCCTGGGTTTCTCAGGGTCAACCCCTCCTGCACCAGCGTAAGATTTATTTATTTATTTTTGCCTTTTTTTTGAGACAGGGTCTCGCTGTGCAGTTCAGGCTGGCCTTGAGCTCACTTTGTAGCCTAGGCTGGTCTCGAACTCGCAGCAATCCTTCTGCCTCAGCCTCCCGAGTGCTGGGATTACAGGCATGTGCCACCACGCCCGGCCTGTACCAGCTTAAGTTTCGGTCAGGGACCTAACGCAGCACAACAGGTGTTGTCTTCTGCTGCCCCCTAGCGCCAAAGCAGAGTAGCAGCGTCGGAACTCCAGCGGCTCCACCTCCCGCCCC